TCTTGGCCCAGACAGCTGTGCAGACTAAGCGCCCCAGTTTGGTGGATAGAAAGGCAGGAGTAGGTGCATGTGATATGTCTGGTGCTACGGGGCGTGCTTAGATATATAAAATGTGCAACATTTTTAACAAACATGCGCGCTTTGAGGCAAATACTCGCTACAGCAAAACACAACATGCAAAGTATCAATGGTTAGCAGCAAATAGATAAAATTGATACTTTGCATATTCAAATGGGATAAGACTTGCAGGTATCAAAAATAAATTGAAAATCTAAGCGTATATCAAGATCCCTATTTGATATTATTATCAATATTAGGTAAAAGTTGAAACGGGCTCATATTTGAACAGATAGATGTTCAATTGTTAATTCTCGCATTTTTCATCTCATAAGCGTGATTTCCACTTAATAAAATATCGAAAAAATAAGTTTTTGTAAAATTAAAGTGCTCGTATCCTGTCAGAAGAGCGACCGCCTAAGCATAATATTTATCATAATACTTAGCATGTTGATAAGAATTGCGGACATACAAAAGTTATTTAAACAGTCATTCTGAAAAATAGAAAATATTTCATTAAAAACTGATTTTGTGAACGGTATATATCAGAAGACTTTCCCTGTATGTAATATAGAGTATAGTGTAACCAAAACATAATAAGTTTTGTAAAGCTAATAAGAAACAAGAGCTTTTAACAGATTTCTGACTCCTGTCCGATTTGGTGGTTCGATCCGACAAATGTGCCTACAAAAAAACGACAGCCCAACGTTGCGTGACGATATTTTTTTAACTGGCAGACTAGCTGCATAGATACAGACATGTGGAAAAATAGATGGACTTGGCAAGATCATAGATAAATTGTATATATTTTATAGAATCTGAGATAACAAATTACCAAATTATGAAATTCTATTAACGGCATAAAAATGTACCAAAATAATATGACATTTATTTTGTCATTATATACCCACGTATTGTTATTCTTAAATGTTATTCTTATTCTTAAATTTGTAGAAGCTTTTTGAAATATCCTTACTCTTTTTCCGGCTTGAAATATATATTATAGCTTTAATTGACAATTATTTACTCTGCTTCTTGATGCGTAAAGACTGTTTTATAGTCATACTATTCGTTAAAATCATACAGAGCAATTGATTGGGGTTTCCTACATCCGCGATCACAGTTGCAGCAGAAAATGTTGCAGCTGCCTACCCCACAACAGACTTTCGGGCTAGAAAGATCATCACAGACATGTGCAAAATTACGCTTAGAGTCTGCGCGACAGCATTCACAATTCGCCTGCCAGATATACAGCGAAAAAGTACCCAAAATTAATAATTGCCACGTATACCACATTGCAGCTGTATAGAGCAGCACCGAAGTGCACAGTAAAACTTCAAGAAGTGTTTAGCAAATGCTATTCGACCTTCGGAAAAAAATAACATACTTTTTGTTATGTGACAAGGAAATAATTAAATTAGTTATATATACCGTATAAGAAATTTGTGTGTAACGAACCAATTATACCTTTCGAAGGTATAAGAGAGTATTACATTACCCGTGCCACTAGATTGTTCCAGTGGTGACCTCTTATTAAGATCGGCAAGAACGAGGTGGTCTGTGAACGAGCATTGCTTTCGTCGTTTCGCTTGCGCCCTAACTCTTTAACTTTGAAAAACTATGGTTCGAATGATGACTTATCTAAATTCTCTGTAGCCAAGTCTAATTTACTCTTACTGAATTCTCAGCGCTTCAGGAACTTTCTTTCTATTGCAAAGTCATTTTGCTCAGGTCTCTGATAATTTTTATTGATGTGCCTTGACCTTTTTTTTATTTATCATCTGTTTCAGTGTACTCCGAGAGCAGATAATCTTATAATAACATCATTCTAATAATCCTTTGTTTAATTCAATATTTGCAATAGTTCTGTTTTCTCAGCGACTAAACGATTTTGGAAACTTTTTGTGATCTCTTTAGGCTTTCAGCGAATAGTTCTACTAATTTAAAATATTCATTACTTTTGAGACAACCTTCGCTTGTCAACTTATCAAATAAAACAACATAAAAATATAATGAATTATTATCAGCAAGTTTTTTACCTACGTGCAGTTGGCACCGGTTATAAGAAGGGTGTAAAGATTGTATAATATATTTAAAAAATAGCACGCTACTTAATATTTCTTTATGTATTTGCCATACATTTGCTCTAAATCTTTCTTAATTTTATAATCTGATTGCCATTATATCCGTTTGGCAGTCTGACGATTTAAGGATTAGTTATCTAGACGGGCTTAAAAATCGTTCTAAATAACAGCTGCTGAATATGGGAAATTTGTTACATAAATATAGCATATAAAATAATAAATTAAAAGGAATAGAGGGAGAAATACAATTTTTGAAAAGTGTGAAACACCTGTTAAATAAGTTTTAATAAAGATCTTTGAAAATGAGTTTGAGGCCGATCGGAAGGTAAACAAAAAAGTTTCAAACAAACTTAGTTCGCGATTTATCCAAAAATGCGGGTGGAATTTCCCGAAACCCCGTTTTATGGTATGGGCTGTGCATTGATCACCAATCAGTCAGTCAGGACAAACAGTTTTATATCTAGAAAAGTATTCAAGACTGCATATCTCCGAGTGTAAAGAGTGTGGTCTTCTGTGTCTTTCAGTGTATGTATATAACATGTATAGAAATCTAGTATACTTGCAACATACATATCTCGGCTATCGGTTCTAATCGGGCTCTCTCGAATAGATCACTATTTTTTTAACTTGGCCTTGTTTATGATGTAGAGGCATAATCATGAACGTAGAGCAAAACCTCGTGGAAATCGGATGAGATTTGACCATTATGGTGGTTCGATCCGACAAATGTGCCTGCAACAAATGGACAGCCCAAGGTTGCATGAAGATATTTTTTAACTGACCTCCTAGCTTGCATAGATACAGACAGGCAGGAAAATAGATGGACATGGCTCATCTACTTGATCATAGATAAATTGTATATATTGTGTAGAATCTGAGTTAGCATATAAACAAATTATAAAACTCTATTAAGGCATAAAAATGCACCAAATGCAATAATGCCCAAAATAAAACAAAAGATATTACAATTTATTTTTAGAAGCTTTTTGAAATATCTTTTTTTTTCGATTCGAGCCTGGTGATAATTTTTTTCGTGAATTAATGGCATTCCACCATACCTCGTCTCTACATCCGTGATCACAGTTGCAGCAGAAAATGTTGCATCTGCCTATCCCACAACAGGGCGACGGTTTTGATAAGTCTTCACAGATTATGTTGCCATCATAATCGAACACTGCGCGACAGCATGCACCATTCGTCTGCCAGATATACAGCGAAAAAGAGTATAAGATTAATAATTGCCACGTATACCACATTGTAGATGTATAGAGCAGCACCGAAGTGCACTGTAAAAATTCAAAAAGTGTTTTGCAAATGCTATTCGAGCTTCGGAAAAAAATAACCGACTTTTTATGTGACAAGGAAATAATTAAATTAGTTATACATAATAAATATGAAATTTGTGTGTAACGAACTAATTATACATTTCGAAAGTATAAGAGAGTATGTTCCAGTGACTATCTTTTATGAAGATCAACAAAAACGAGATGGACTGTGAACGAGTATTCATTTTGTCGTTTTGATTGCGTCCAGACTCTTTAACATTTATATGTAAATGTTTTACAACTTGAAATAGTGTGGTTCTAATAATGACTTGTCTAAATAGTCTGTAGCCAAGTCAAACTTTACTCGACTGAATTCTCAACGCTTCGTGGACTATCTTTCTATTGGAAATGCATTTTTCTCAGCTCTTTAATAATTTTATAATTATCTCAAAGCGCAGATCTTGATGTGCTTTAACCTTTTTTACTGAGGCAGAAAAATCATGCAATTCTGTTTGCAACCCGTATACCAATTGCTTCAGTGTACTCCGTCATCTCCTCCCATAATAACATCCTTCTGTTCTGTTTTCTCCGCGACTAAACGATTTTGGAAACTTTTTGTGATCTCTTTCTAATAATTTAAAATATTCGTAACTTTTTAGATAACCTTCACTTGTCAACTTATAAAATAAAAATACATAACAATATAATGAATTATTATCAGCAAGTTTTTTACCTACGTTCAGTTGGCACCGGTTATAAGAAGGGTGTAAAGATTGTATAATATATTTAAAAAATAGCACGCTACTTAATATTTCTTGTATTTGCCATACATTTGCTCTAAATCTTTCTTAATTTTGTAATCTGATTGTCAGCATACCTGTTCGCACGTCTTGCCTCTTCGTAATTCCCTGCTCTTGCCTTCATTTATTAGTTTATATTTAACATTAGTTGGAGTACAGTATTCACCATCCGCCCTATACGGGGCAGGGACAAGAGTTGTATTAGAATCAATGACAGTCGTAAAATTTATAGATTTTTCTATCTAGACGGGTTTAAAAATAGTTCTCAATAACAGATGCTGAATATCTGAAATTTATTGCATAAATATGGTTTATAAAATTATAAATTAAAAGAAATAAAATAATTTTGGAACATTTTTGGTTAATTAAAAATTATTCATACGGCACTATCATACTTGTGTCTAAATGTAATCTGACCACAATAAGTATATATATTCTTGTCCAGTATCGGGGTCGAGTCCCCATTAATACCCAGAAAAGTGTAAGGCAGATTCGACCCCCAAAGCCCTGTCTTAGCGGCGCCTCCATAAGGTTGCAATATACAAATTTCAGCTTCTTAGCTCTTACAGTTTGGGCTATACGTTAAATATCAGACAGTCAATCAGTTAGTCAGGATAAATAGTTTTATATATAGAGATAAAATACATACATACAGACGTACGCGCCCCACAAAATGTATACTTTGTGCAGCAATTGTTGTTCTTCTTCGCCCCACACTTGAGCATTGCTAGATTGACTCTAGCAGTTGGTTCCCTATATAAAAAATAATAAAGTAATACTCATTTAAAGACACGTTAATGATTTGGGAACTTTTAATTTTCTATGCTGTATCAGGAAAATTTAAGCATTGTTACAAAATTATTTAAAATAGTTACAAAGTAGCTATTGGTGTAAGAAAAACTTTAAGTCATATGCGTTGCCTTGGTACCAAAATATTATGAAATTTATTATGTCATTATAAACCCATGTAGTGTTATTCTAAAATGATACAATAGAAATTATAAATTTTTTTTAGAAGCTTTGTTAAATATTCTTACTCTTTTTTTTCTGGTTCGGGCTTGGTGATGCTTTTTTTTTCATTTAAAAATGGCAGTCTGGAAAAGGAACATATATTATTAAAAGTGAAAGTAAAGTTTTATTTACAAATAATTACTCTGCTTGTTGATGCGCAAAGACTGTTTCATGGCCATACTGTGCCTTAAAATCACCCAAAACAGTTATTCTAGCTTTCCTGCATCCGTGATTACAGTTGCAGCAGAAAAAGTTGCATTTGCCTACCCCACAACAGGGCGTCGGACTTGTCAGATCATTACAGACTTTAGCTTGACACTCATCTTTGTTCAAAAAGTGAACTTGGCTGCCTCCAGCGACATCCGCACAAGTCGTATTGTGACTATTTTTTAGAAAATAAGTCATAGAGGTTGAGCGACAGCATGCACCATTCGCCTGCCACATATACAGCGAAAAAGAATATAAAATTAATAATTGCCACGTACACCACATTGTAGATGTATAGAGCAGCACTGAAGTGCACTGTAAAGCTTCGAAAAGTGTTTTACAAATGCCATTTGATCTACGGAAAAAAGTAACATATTTTTTGTTATGTGACAAGGAAATAATTAAATTAGTTATATATAGCGAATATGAAATTTATGTGTAACGAACTAATTATACCTATCCAAAGTATACGAGAGTAGTACCCGTGTCACCAAATTTTTCAAGTGATGACCTTTTACGAAGATCGACAAGAACGAGATGGACTGTGAACGGGCGTTGCTTTTGCCCTTGAGGCTTTTAGCATATACTTCTACTAGTTTAAAGTGTCAACGGCCTAGAACAATATTATAATATTCAAAAAAAGATATTTGCAGCAACAAGTTTTTTATCTACTTTCCGTTGGACCCGGTTATAAGAAGGGTGAGGAAGATTGCATAACATGTTTAAAAACAACACGCTAATTTATTTTTCTTTATGTATTCGATGAAATCGGTCTTACATACTACTACGTCTAATAGGCCTTAAATTAGACTATTTATTAGAGTTCGACTAAAGGTTAACTTATTCCAATGCCAAGTTTCTAGCTGCTATAGAATCCGAAATCGACGCGTTCATGCAGATGCACACACGGAGTCGGAGATACTTTGTTCTAACTTTGAGAAGAATTTGCACAAAACCAATGTTAATAGTTTGGAATTCAATTTTAATCGATACCGTATATAAGGGCTTTTCAAACAACTTAATTGTTTTACTACATTCACAATCTCTTCATGTGGCGGCAAGCATCCTTGTTTACAGTAACAGCTAAAAATATTGCACAGTCCAGTTGCGCAAAAGTGCAAAAGTGTTTCAGGATTAGTTCTTGATTTGCGCAAACTGCTTTTCGAAAAGCAAAATTGTCGCCACATAGGGAAGACCCTACAAGCCTCTATTGTTCCGGATGGCATTCGGTATTTAGCTGCCATGGATGCATTGAAAAGAGTTGTAGTAGAAATAGCAAGACCGATATATAGCGCATTGCAGCAAGTCTTCCGGAAGTTTTACGGACACGAAATGATTTTGCACGTACGAGCTAATTAGTACAGCGAATTTTAACGATACCTGCTACAAATCAATTAAAGAGACTTTGTAGTGCATTTTTTCCTCTCGCTATCTCCCCCATTCCCATATCCAAATTCACAAACATCGAACCCAGAAAAGCTTAACTTTGTTATTATACCCTTGTTGAGAGTATTATAATTTTGTTATGAAATGTGTAACGCATAGAAGGCGTTGTATATTCTAGATGAGCATCAACAGTCGAGATGATATAGCCATATCCATCTGTCCGTCCGTCTATCAACATCAGGCCACTATATCATATAGTTGCTATGGGAAAGATCGGTGGAATAATGGGATCTTATAAGGCAAAACATTCTGTTTTCAAAGATATTTTAACAAACTCGGTATTTTGGAGCTTCACTTTGTTATTATACCCTTGTTGAGAGTATTATAATTTTGTTATGAAATGTGTAACGCATAGAAGGCGTTGTATATATTCTAGATGAGCATCAACAGTCGAGATGATATAGCCATGTCCGTCTGTCCGTCCGTCTATCAACATCAGGCCACTATATCATATAGTTGCTATGGGAAAGATCGGTGGAATAATGGGATCTTATAAGGCAAAACATTCTGTTTTCAAAGATATTTTAACAAACTCGGTATTTTGGAAGTGTCCGCAAGGGTATTAAATCTTATATCTACAATAATCTTAATTAGTGCCGAAAATATCCTTTCTTTCTCGTTTTATGTGGGTTAGGGAGGTGGGAAATTTCGACCTATGCCTAGGATATTTGATATTTTCACATGACATTTGACCAAAAATAATGTTGGCAGATTTAGATATACAGGTCAAAAAAAATTGTAGCCAGATTTAAAGGGCCAAACCTCATTAAAATCGGATGATATTTGACCGAGTTATGGGAGTGGAAAATTTCGACATACATATGTCTAAATAGGATAATAGCGGCCCCGCCCTTGCCCGTGTCACGTTTAAAATAAATACTCGCAAAGAATCACGTATTCATTTGGTTCTTATGTAGAGTTTCGAAACTAAATTGGATGCAAATCGGACAAAACTTAACTGTCAGCAAACAATTCTTAGAATCGCACCGAGGAACCTTTGATTGTCTTAACGTGTCCCTTCATCACATAAGCTATCAACAGTAAAAATTTGCGTTGATCACCATTGAGTCAGTCAGTCCGTCATTCAGGACAAACAGTTTATATATAGAGATAGTCGAAATCCCAAAATAAAACTAGCAATATAAAAACAAGTTTATTTATGAAAATTATTTGAGGTTAGGTAACTGCATTTGTAAGTATATCATTGTGTTCAGTGCATTGCCCCAACCGCATTCATTCGCGAATATCTGGTGGATCTAACACACATTCTCATACAAAATCAGCAGCCATTAGGCTAATGCAGCGCCAGCATCGCATTTTTCACTACCCGATATGTCCCATTTGTGTGGGTCTGCCAAGAGACTTGCTCCGCCCCTCTCTTGGCGGTCGAACGAGGGCGCAATAAAGGCGGGCGGGCAGGTAGTAAACATTGCGCCTATTAATTTATGACATAATAATTCTCAAAGCGCAAACAAAGCCGCTCGTAAAAAGTGAGCCCGGGCCAGACAATGGACCGCATTATGCACTTACGAGTATTTTGGAATAGGTATCCACATGAGCACATGCCCATTGGGGCAGATGGTGGGCAACTGGCGCTGAGCCCCCGATTGCAATTGCAAATCAGCGCGACAAAAGTTGAAAGACCAACAACTGACAAAAGGGAGGCCCCAAGTGGTTGGCTCGTACTTTGGTTTTTTTGTATTGTCTTTTTTTTTGTCACTTGGACCAAGTGTCCACATGCAGCTGTCAGAGATTGCCACTGTCGTGTTGGTCGAGTGGCAAATAAAATAAAATGAGACATTGGCTAGGCTAAATTATTTAATATCGCATTATCTGGCATCATAATTATCCACTGTGCGACACTGTGGGGCTGTGACTCACACCGTGGCTGGCCCCCGGTAAACGAAGGAAAGGCGCAATGTGCGACAACTATGAAAAATCACTTGCAATTTGGTTTATCAATTTGTGAAAATTATAAAAAATATGCATACGTTGAATATTTTGGCGAAATCATTTGTAACCCAACAGTCGCCCACGCTGCGATTGCGGCGATGTGGCAACGCCGTTCACAACGCCGCTGAGTGGCCCCCGCATCGCGTGGGTAGCTGCTGCCCAGGCGCCAAAAAAACCAAATCTGTAATCTGTTTATGCAACTGTTTATATACTCTTACTCTTTTGAAGGGCACACCAACTTTCCTGGCAGATGTGTGCTGAGGGGTGAGGCTTTTCATAATTATCGGGTTAGCTCTTGAAACGATTTTCAGTTTTAAGTTGAAGTTTGAGCTTAGACTGTAAAAGCAATATTATCTCTTTTCTCTCCCATTTTCGACCTCTAATTGTTATTCGAAATATGTTATCCAATCGTTCTAGCAATCTCGACATGACAGTAGCTTACAGTGTATCTTAAAGTCGTTTTCAATTGGTTTGATTTGCATTCTTGTTGCTGCTGCTGTTTTGCGGCCATTCGATACACTTGACGCCGTTCGTTGAAATTAAATATATACGGGTGCATATAGAAAATGCGTCGTGAGTCAAGTTTAGGATTTCTAGTTGCATCGTTTCGCTACAGCTACAGCTGCTTTCGGCGGCTTCCTCTCTGTCTACATTTCAGGAGAATACGAGGAAAAGTATTTGAACAGCACTTCTTGAGTTTGTTTGCAACGGCAGCAAACAAATATTCGTGATTCCTGATAAGCATCATTTGTTGGCCGCTGTGGTCCGAACTCTCTGCATTGGTTAACAAATGCCGCTAAAATGCGGAAAGCTAATCAAAAACGCGTTGCGACCACGACGCCGACGCCGCCGCTGCTGCTGCCACCGCTGTTGCCGGCTGGCCCCAAAAATCGATGGCAAAACGTTAAGTTCCAAGAGCCAAGTTCAATTGGCAAACAAATTCGCGTGAATGAGCCAACAGCAATAGCAACAGCAACAACTGTCGAGCATTGGCTGCTGGTATTTTTACTCGTACTTGCCGGGCAAATTTAGGCAAAACATTAACCGTTTTGTCCATTTCGTTTTGTTTCCTTTAGTTTTGTTTTGGTTTTTCCCTGTCCGCGATTCTGTCCCGCTGTCCGTGTGACTTATGTGCGACATTAGCGCGACGTTCTTTGCTTAATTACGTAAACTTTTTTTGGGTCTCCGCCTCAAGGCTTCCCTGCGCACATGCCACCCCCTCCCCGCTCCACATACCCCTGCCCACTGTCTCTTCTACTCACAGTTTGTTTGGTTTGCTGTTTGTTATGTGTACGACAAGTTCGTGTCTTAAGTCTTTCGTTTTGCGCCTTGTTCGGCTCTTGTCGCAGTGCCGTTTTACTGTTTTCTGTTATGTTCTGTGTTTGCAACAGGTTGTAAGTCGAAATTAAAGAATTTGTTAAGTTGATTTGTCCTCTGGCTTATCCCTACACTGGGTGGCATGCACAAAGGTCTAGTGTGAGGACAGTTGGTTACAGGGAGTCAAAAGAAGCTTTTCTCCGGTTCTTGGGACATTTTCTTGGCTACTCTAAGCCGGAATTGTTCTTATATATTAACAATGTGTCCTTAAAGCCTTTCAGACATGGCAGTGAATAGTTTCGGAAGTGCTTAAGAGACAGCTCCTCCAACGTAGTTGGGTGTCAATATCTGCCTCATGGCAACAACCTGTATTTGCCAACAATCCAGATATAAAATTGTATAATGAAAGATTGAAACTCTTTTGGCTACAATATACTTTTTTAACACCTAATAATAGAAGGGAAGCTATATTCAATGAATTTTGATAATGATGCCTGCAAAAAATTCGCATGCTGTGCGCCTCTCATCTTTATATACATTGGAAATTTTCTCAAGCTTTCAATGTTTGCGTTTTATGCTTTGCTCCATATATGTACGTTCTAAAAGCTTGCAATAACCTGAA